TGAGCTTTTTTGTTTCCTTGGTCCTTGTTGACAATGTAAGATGTTTCTTATGGGTCATGGTGAAAAAACAAACAAAGAAAAAAGCACAGAAGAAACCCTGGAAAGCTACTGGGCTGGAAGTTGCAGGCCAATGTCTTATCACAGAGCCTCAAGAGACAACTGTAAGCAGAGCCCAGTGGCTGCTGAATCCATGGGGTTGGATTTTAGGAGGAAGTCAAAGCTGGAGAGATGCTTGGCAGAAATTGTAGAAAGATGTCATTTGGAGCCATGGGAGTGAGTTAAGTCACCCAAGGAGAGTGTGGAGTGTGAAGAGAAAGAGGTCTGGGCAGACCCCGAGGTATAGACATTTGCTCCTTCGAGGGTTGTGCTTGTCCTTTGTCCTCTCTGCTGTTTTTTCTTTACTCTCCAGGAAGAAGCTGGATACAGGGAAGCCCCAGAGGCATCAGAAAGGCATAGTTTCAAGCACATGTTCATTAGTGCTGGTTTTGCAGCAGCCTGGCAGAAAGATAAGCACACTCCATGCTGGATTGTAAACTGGCACCTAGCAGGGGGCCTGGTGACCACTGGCAGTCAGGATGTGCTTGTTGAATGGATACACACAGTGGAGAAGTACTTAGAAAAAGGCCTTCAGATTCTAGAGACTCCAGGTCATGAGCTACGATAACAGTGGGGTCTACACCCTCACTAGCTATGATTCACTAGTAGCTTTGGGGCATCATTTATTATTTCCCGAGAGTATTTTTGCAGTGTTCAAAAATGGCAACAAGAGGTGAAAGCTGTCCAAGGAGATGTGTTATTGCAGCATTGTGTGTAATAGCAAAAACCTAAAAGCAAATTAAATGTTCATGCATGGGAGAACGGACAAACTGTGGTGTATTCAAACAGTGACTATATAGCAATTAAATGAATGAGCTAGACCTACAGGTGTCACTCTGGATAAATCTCAAAAACTTAATATTACTCAAAAGAATTTAATTCACAAAATGGTTTGTACAGTATGATACCATTTATTGAAGTTTTAAAAATCACATTAAATTGTACTACGCGATCTTATATGAAAACAAGCATACAATTCCATAAGTAAAGGGAACACACAAACTTTCACGCAGTGGTGATGTAATCTCCGGAGTGGGAGCAGGGTAAGGGACAGAAGAGTAAAGCTTTATCTGTAGAATTTTATCTTTACAAAGATAAAGTTAGAAGATAAAAGATAGAAGCAGAAACAAATATAGCAAAGTATTAATAGTTATTAAATAACCTAATAAGTCATGGGAGAAATATTTTATGTTCTTTTCATAATTAAAAATAAATACAAACATATATAAATTTTGCAATGCACAGAGCAGGAATCAGGCTTCCTCCCTGATTCCAAGTGAAGCAGATGACCTGTAAAACAATGACTAGGAAAAATGCATACACATATGCCCATACATACAAACATACACATACAGATGGACATACATAGATACACATGTACATATATATATGATATAGCTTCAAATTAAAACAAGCTTTTAATTTTTTTATTGGGAGAAATACTGACATTCCCATGTATCATCAGTTTCTGAGAGACAGAACCTTTACGATGTGGGCGCCTGACCCTTTTCTGAACCGGGTAGTGACCATATACTAAACCTAGACGATAGGGACCATCTTGTCTCTTGTTAGATGATGAATCTGGAGTGACTGGGGCAGTGGCAGGGAAGAGCAGAGGAAATCTTTGCATGCTAGGGACTGCTCCAGCATAGGGCTGGAAAGACATGGCCTGAGGAATTACAGAAGGGCTACAGAAGAAGCCCTGTAAACCCTGGTGGGAATAATGGAGCTGGAGTCAGGAGGCTGAGTCCAAACCCCAGTACTCTCATTAACTACAAGAGAGGCCATGACTGGTGTCTGCTCCCCACTGGGCTTCTTGAACTTCATTATGGTTAGAGGATCTCTCAGGAACATTCCTGAGATGACACTAGCTGACTTCTCTATCCTCTTTCTTTATCTAAGGAGTGTGTCTCCCCTGTCCCAGAATAAGAGGCATTCCAGGGAGTAGAGTTACAGCAGGTGTCTGGGTAGTGGAGAGACCAAGTGAGGATAAAGTTATCAAGTGTGGAAAAAGAAAGCTTTGTCAGTTTTTCCAGGGGCAGGAATATGCTTCCTGTTATTTTTCATGAACTCATCTTCTTTCTCTAAGTGATGCAGATATACTGTGTGTGTATGGGGGCTGGGTGAGTGGAAAAGAGCGCGAGTTGAGTTTTTACCAAAGAGGTGTATGTTTTAGGTAGCCTGGGGTCCAGCTAGAGGAATTATCTGTTTCAGTTGTACAGATGGCATCATCTGCTGACAACATTCCAGGGGTGGGGCTGGTTCACCTTGAGTAGTAACACAATTTAGCTTTAAACCTCCTGGGTCATCCACTCCCTATGTATCTATCCATTGAGATTTTAATGGCTATGATTATTCTTTTTCTTTTTTTTCGGCTTTGCTATATTAGTCACGTACTTCTTGTGTCTTTTTAGGTGTTGTTGTTCTGAGAATGGCTTCTCAGAAACTGAGATTAGGAACCTCATGCAGTGCAAAATCAGGTATGTCTGCTCAGAGGACAGTTGTTGAAAAATGAAAATAGAACTTTTCTCAAGTCAGAATGCAAGATGGTAGAAAATTTGCTTACTTTATGCGTAATGCACAAACTAAGCATACGGCTTTTCAAGAATGCATGAGTTGGTTTACTCAAGGTTCATTTGTCCTACACAGTTAGTGTGTAACTTGAATGCTGGGTGTTCCCCTGTGTCTAGCTTCTAGTCCTCAAAACTTGTCTCTGTTTTCACTACACACCACTTGGCTTGCTGAACTCAATACCTTTCCCAATGCCCACTCCTCCCAAAGAATCTACTCACAGAAAGAGTTAAAGAAAAATTTAGACTTTACTAAGTATTTTGTAGAGGAGATCTCCGAGGCAGATAGAGCATGCTGCTTGGCAGATGATTCAACATTTTCCGTCAGCTATCCATGCTCTCCCAACTCCCTCTCATTCGTAAACCACTGCTGATTTTCTTTCTTTGTTTCTTTAAATCTCTTCTAGGCTTTCTCCAGCAAACTTCACTGGATTCTTACTCCTTTTTTTCTCTCCACCTTCTTGAGAGAAATATACAGTTTGCTGCATTCTTTTGTATGGTAGTTAAGGGTCTGTTTTTTCTTATTGGAGCACAACAGCAGGGACTTACACTTCCACTCAAATGGTTCGTCAGTGTCCTTTGATAAATAAAATGCTCCTCCAAAGATGATAAGAGATGCCAAGTTTGATGTAGCTAAAGAAATCTTATGGCTACCCACACCATTTCTCAGAAGTCCTTTGCCCCATTTTTCAGGGTTATCTTTGTGTGTCAACAACTCTATGGGGACTTAAAAACCTTCCACAGAAGTGGCTTTCTGAGGGTGTTTGAAGCAGGAATGTATCAGGCAGGGAATGGTAGTGGCTATTCCCTGGCTAAGTGACCACATCACTTTGACCACTGTTGAATGCATGATACTTTTCTGCCAGGAAACAAAACCTGTCTGCTGCTGACTTATGTCAATCTTAATTGGAATGGAGTCAGGCCTGGTCAGATGGTTTCCCGAATCCCTAGATCCCATGTATCCTGGGCAGTCAGCTTGGTAGGTCTCTCCTTTACCTATTTGCAATTCTGCAGTTTGCTCCATTCTGAAAGACATCCCATGTTTTGATTCTGTTGAGAGGATAGACACACAGCCAAATGCTACTGATGCCATAGGTTTTATGCTAGTGGCCAGGGGCGGGGGGGGTCTTCTTCTGGTTGGGTGCTTCCAGAATTCTTCCTGGAATCTCAGCCCTGACTTCTGGTCTTCTGAGATGGAAGAGACTTTGGAAAGATTCAAATCCACTCCTCTCAGTTTTTAGACTTGGATCCTGAGTTCCAGGGAGGGAGATGGGATAGTGAATTCATATGATTTTATGTTTCCTCGGCATCCATTGTGAATCCAGCTTTCACTTTCTTATACCAGACACAGCACAGGGCTCATTCTCTCTTGACACAGTCTCTAGATGTAAACCACATCCAGTGGCTCAAGCTGGTGTCATAAGAACCTAGAGGCATCTTCCCGTGTAGCAGACTCAGCTCCCTGCTTTCCCAAGGCGTCCCTCAAATGGACAATGCTGGCATTTGCCCTCAAACTTGGAGTGACCCACACCCTGTTTCCTTATATGCTAGTTGTCTCACCCGCTCTCATTCTCTCTCTCTGCCTAACTCTTCATTCCCACCTCATGTGACCAGAAAAGGATCATGGCCCTCTCAACTCAGGACCTGTGAGTAATAAACCTTTGAACTTTTTTTTCATGTTGGGTATATTCAATTTGTGCTTTCCATCTAAGGAACCAGGGCTTCCCCAGGCCCAGTTTTCCTCAGGGATACAGAGGGTAGGGGTGGCAGACAAAGGGGCAGGCTCTCAGGGCCAGAGTGATGATCAGGCAGGCATGAACTGGACTTAGCTTAGTCAAGGGCCACAAGGACCTCTCCCAGTATAAACACGTTTCCTATGTGAGAGACTGTCTGGTGTCAGGTTGGACAATCAGGGCTTAGGCCATCTACCCTGTGAAAGGGACACTGTGAACACCCACTTCCAGCCCACTCTTTCATTTCCCATTAGGGCACTGTTGCCAGCCACTCTGGTACTGGACCCCAATTTAGCTGGGGGCTCTCAAAACAGAAGAAATGAATCAAGAGCCTACAGTAAGTCAGTGGTTGGGCTGGGGCATGTATCCACCCCTTCTGATTCCCCTGGGGGTCTCTGCTTACCACACCTCATTCCTTCCCTGCCTTCTATCTGAAAGATAACTTCACTCAAAACTCTCTTTTTAACCCTGGAGTTGTATCTTTTCAAGAGACAGAAGGAGAAGTAAACTATTTAATACACTTTGTGGTTTCAATCTTGTTTTAAAAGTTTTCTTTTTGCCCAAATGTTTGGATGGATGAAATACTGTATTATAGAGAGTTGCTTTCTTCCTGAAGGCCAAAAGAAAACTGGTCAGTCTGAGCTACTGTATAAGAAGATAGACAACACATTCTCAAGAGGAAAGGTGTTTGTATCCACATACTGGAATTTGTCCACTTTGACTGATACCGTGGTGTTGACATGCAGGTAATCCAACAGAAATTGAGAGAGATTCTGGTATATGCCTTTGGTTTGCATTTCAGACTCGCACACTGTCACCAAGGCCTGTTTTTTTGCCTGATTGTTGATAAGAAGCTCCAACTTCAGGTCAACAGAATGATTTGGGCATTGCACAATAAACTGCAGTTGGCAAATGATGAAGTACCAACCTGGGAACTGGATCACCAGATCCCCATCCTGATATCTGACTCCATGGACAATGCCATCTTTGTTCCAAGACAACTTAGTTTGGTTTAGATGCTTTGACACTGGGAAGAGAAGTAGAAAAAATAAATTAATGAACAAATTGAAGGTACGGATTGGAAGACGTTAAGTCTTTATTCAAAGCTCTGTATTCAAGACCTCTGTTTTTTATACTGCTATTTGCTGTTCTATCCATCTGAGTATCATCCTTGTTACTCCTTCTAAGATCTCCTTATTATTCAAGGCACAGGTAGAAAACCACCCTTCTTCTTTTTCTCTAATGCTCAGAGCTGGAGGATCAGAACATATATGGTACTGTACTTTTACCTCCTATAGAATGGGTTTCCATTTAATTATATTAATATGTCATTACTATAGTTGTCTTTCCCTTTTTAGACTATGAACTTCTGATCTCAACAAGGTCTGGATTACCATATACCTTTATCACAAATGAGCATTTGGTGGAGACCAATGTTTGGCAGGCATTGCAGAAAGTATCAGAAAGAGGACATTCAATAATATTGTTCAATTAATGGCAAATTTAAGTATCAAGATGTCTAGGAAAATCTTCATTAACTTTTGCATTAAGATGCATCCTCTGTGCTTTCTTTGAATTTTTGAATGTCTCTTTTCTTTAAGTGGGCAGCCAAACATGATTGTGTGGGATCCACGTGTACTTTACGGGGCTCTTGCCATCTGGGATTTATAGAAAAGCAGTGAATTAGCAGACCCTCTAAGCTGACAGAATCCAAGTTTCTGAGTCCACAAGTGAAAATTAGCACTGACTAGTAATGGTGCCTTCAGGACTAGAAGGCTGGCATGTTAGTTTTAATTGGTTCTTTGCTTTCCCTTTAAGCCTTGCTGCAATTTAATTGAAGAGTGAGAACTAATCTAACTGCAAAATTGAATTTTTGGAATAAGCAGAATGGCTATTCAGAGAACCTTGCCCATCTCCACCTCATTCTTTTGCAGTGTAAGAGCCTCTTACAATTTCATTTATAAGGAACCTCTTACCTGAAGCATACTGCAATATGCAAATAGGCCCTCTGCCAACATGTTCATTAAGCTGTCAATCTGGGAATGAGGCAATTTTGTGGTCCTCTTGTGAGTAACTTCATGGAGGCAGAGACTGAGAGCCTGACTCCCTTGCATTAGGAAAAGGACTATATACTTGGCTGAAACTGGCAGATAACTGAATAGGTAATAGTTAATGGTGGTGGTGGTAGTGGTGGGACACAAATGCTCTCAGAGGCCAGGTAGGCAACTAAAAGGATGAATGAGACTTTGACAAGAAGGGGCTTCTTAAGGAGTAACACTTCCCCCTCTCCCTTCTAAGGCATTCAAATTCAAGCTATAAAAAATATCTTGCAGGCTAAACAGAACACATGTGTGGGTCACTTTTGGCCACGGGCCTCTGATTGTGGCCACTGGCTTAAAAGTTGCCGAAAGGTCCTAAGAAGTAGCCTCATGGGTAAGTTTCCTGGATTCAGTTACTGACCTTGGAGATAGGCCCACGATTTCTCGAATGGAGCATTTTTCACAATACTTAAGAGGTCTTCTGAACAATTTCCTAAAGATAAGGAGATTACGCGTTAAATGACTTTTGCTGTGCTGGGAACTGCTTGCGGCAGATATTTTTCCGTGATCCTGTGATGGAGACCATTACCATTCTGTTTCCATTTTGAGAATAAAAGGAAAACTCTTTATTTCTCATTCTGCCATCAATTGTCTTAAGATTTAAATTAAAAAAAAATTATTTTGTATTGATTGCTTCCACTTGGGCTTTCACAGAAGGCTATTGGTAGTCAGGGAAGAAAACAAATATGACCCAAGCAGATTCTGTAATGTGCCAAGTGCCTTTCTCGTCACTATGTATATTTCACCTTAATGTTTGCAGCAGTGCTCTGAGGGAGGTATTATGAAGTCCCTTCTACAGATGAAGAAGAATCTGGGAATAAGACAGATTAAATATATTGTCTCAAATCACTCAGCCAGGCAGTATAGTCAGAATGACAGTGCTGATTGTCACTATTGCTACACTACCTACTATGCACCAGATACTAGTTTGGGTACTTTTACCTTTATCAGCTAATCGAGTTCTCAGACTAACCCTTCAGGGTTAACCCTGATACCTAGTGATGGCCAATGCCATCACTCAAGGCCAAGCAATTCTGTGGAAATGCTGAGATTGCCCATGTCTACCTGATTTTAGAGGCCACATGTCTTCCTCTAGGCCATTTTGCTAGCCAATGAGATAAAAACATCTCTGCACTCAATTTTAAGAGAGCATAATATTAAAGATATCTTAGCAGGAGGCCTACTATCTGGAGCTTCCTTGGGAGAAGTAAACAACATTTCTGTCATTTTCGATCCCAAGAAATAAAAATATTTTTCATTTATTCAATAGTGATTATGGCTTAGGTTTTTCTTATGGTAGTACCATATTACATACAAAGAACCAAGTTATAAATTTCCTGCAAGGACTCATGAATTAGACTTATATGGAGCAAATCTCTTCTCTTCTCAGAGTCTTGGTTTCCCTACCTGTAAAACTGGAGATCTCTGACCTGATAAGGACATTTTTGATGATGTCATTGGTGATGTCAGTCTATCGTCACTGACCAGGCAGCCATAGGCACACTGAGTGGAGCAGCCACACCCTAGTGTATTTGCTCAGCTTTAAGTACTGCCTCTTTAAGTACTGTCTGTGGGGGACACAACCTTCCCCACTGCCCTCTGCCTAGGCCTGAGAAGACCCCTTTGGCCAGTCTCAGCTCCATGGGGGAGGCATGGGGTGACTAATAACTAAGTGAAGAGTTCCCTCTGCTGTCTGAACAAGCTCACTGCGAGAGGTACCCCTTGCAGAAGCAGGAGGCAGTTTGCATTCTTATCTGCTTGGTGGTGATGGCTGGTGGACCAACTGCCATTCTCTTGCTAGCATCCTCACTCATCCTTTAACAGGTGTTCTGGTCCTGCCTGCTACAGCCCATGGCCCACACTCCTGGGATGTCCAGAATCATAACCAGAACACCGAAGGCTGCTTATGCCCTTAATGGACTGTGACTACTATTAGAGAGTCCCCCTGACCTACCCTCTTTTATGGGCTGTAGAACTCAAGTCAAGGACATAGATCTGGCTGAATCCCTTTCCTTGGAATCTCTATCTTCCTTCCCTCACCTGCAGGATCAGGTCCAAGCTTCTCAGCATGGCACTCAGGGTCCCATGTGTTCTGACCCCAGCTGAAATCTCCAGTCTCATCCCTCCCCTACCTTCCTCCCCTTTCTCTCCATGTCCCAATAGTAATAATAATAATAGCAGTAATAACAATAATTAATACATGTTAATTATGGCAATTTCCTAGGTATTCTAAGCATGTTATGTGCATTATTTTACTTAATTCTCACAATGACCTTATGAGAGAGGTACTGTAATTATTTTTATCTTGCACATAAGGAAACTGCAGCTTTAAAAGATGAAGTGACTTGTTCAGATTCACCCTTGTCAGTGGGGGTTGCTGACCATGTTACTGTAGTTTGGGGCTTGCAGAGCCCCCAAACACACCATAATGGTTTGTCATGCCACCCCAGCACCTGCTATTCCCTCCACCTGGAATCCACTGGCTGGGAGTCATCCCCTGCAGGACACCTTCTCTGACCCCTCCCTTTGTTTGTCTGTTTGCCTTCTCCATTAGACTGGGAACCTTCAGGGTGGAGACCGCTGCTTATCCATTTCTACTGCCCAGCTCAGAAGATGCTCTGTACATCTTTGTTGAGTTGAATCATCTGGCCCATTGCTCCTGTTTCCCTCTATGGCTACCATGGCAATACTTAGGGGATGAGTGAGGTGAATGGGGATGCCTGGCTTATCTTTTGCCTCCAGACTGGAATAACACAGAGCTCATTCTCCCACTGGCTTTGTAGGTCAGGTTAGATTAGATGGGAAGATAAGACTCTTGTCCTGGGCTAAGGCCAGCATCTTGGCCAAGAACAGGCTCTGCTCATTGGCCAAAGGGCTCTCACCCCATGCCTCTGGCTGGGGTGGTGTACACTGTAAACAGGTGGCTGTAGAAGTGCAAGCCCAGGCTTGCCTCTCACACATGCAGGTTCTTTGTTGTTTTTCCCCTTTGGTCTTCACATGTTTGGTGAGGTGACCTCAGCTGTAATTCTGAGAAACCCGAGGATGGAAAAAAAATTATTTTGAATCATTTGCATTTCCTGAAGTCAAATGGCATGGCATTTTAGTTTTTCTTAAAGAATCTTTTAGATAGTTTCAAGCTAAAGGAAAAACACAGGCAGCAGTTTTTTAATAGGACATTGCCAGAGCCAGTTCCAAGAAGGGCTGGAAGCAGAATACTACAAAAGCTGGTGAGAGAATGGGCTGCTGAACTTGGAGAAGACCCAGAGGAGGGCACAGTCTCTATGCTTTGACATATGGCAGGGCTGTCAGTAGGAAGACAGTTCAGCCTGCTTGATGGGGCCAACCATTGGGACTCCCAGTGGCAGGTGATGAGACGAAGCCATCAGCTAATGCCGAACACTGCTGTCATCCCCATTTTTCAGGTACAGCAGTAGAAAGGCCTATAGTAAGAACACCCAGGTCACACTGTAAGTCACAGAGCTAGCAGTCTGTGTTGTTCAAACATGGAGTGGGTGGCCTTGGAGGTCATGAGGCTCTTGTCAAGAGCTAAATGACATGGGCCATCAGCCATGTGGCTTGAGTCCCCTCATCAGCCTGTGAGTCCATGATATAACTTTCAGTTTTGGTTGTGGAAACAGAAAAAGAGTGATTTATAAATAGTTGGTGTCACATGCAGCTTAAACCCTGCAATGCCCCTGGAATTTTGTAGACTGAGAGCATAGGGAGCAAAACCTGTTCCTACTTCATTCAGTTTTCAGTTGAATGTGACTTCAGGAGGGGTTTAGTTCGAAGAACAAAACGTCAGTGTGGGGGAAATGAGGACTCTGTAAGTTGTGGCAGAGTTAATGGCTGGGAGTCAGAATTCCAGGATTTCCCCTCTCTGGCTGCTAGTGTCCCTGTCCAGATGAAGAACTGTATGCATGTCATAATCTAGAAGGGTCCTTCAAGCTTATTCTAGAAGCCTGTGCAGACTCAGCTGTTCACTGCCTGACCTGCTGGAGAAGCAGAGGGGAATCCATCCCAATTCCAATGTCTGCCTTTCTGGGCCTGTTGCTTTACCTTAGGTAGAGATTGTGCCTTTACACATCCAGATTTTCAGACACATGCAGATCTAAGTTATGAATAGTCTGGTTCTATAAGTATTTGCATAGTTTTTAGTAATGGAAGTTCTCTGAGAGATCGCCAGTCTAGGCTTAGTTAAAAAAAAAAGAGTACCTTATAAATAGGTGGTGTCACATGCAACTCAAACCCCGCAATGCTCCTGGAATTTTGAAGGCTGAGCGCACAGGGAATAAAACATGTTCCTACTTCATTCATTTTTTCAGTTGAATGTGACATCGGGAGGGGTTTACTTTGAAGAACAGAATATCAGGATGGGGAAAATGAGGACTATGAGGACACATAACTCACGTGCTCCCCAGCATTACCCCTATGGCAGGCTGCTTCTAGGTCACCCTGCGAGTTAGTGACAGAGGCAGGACCAGAGTCCAGGGATCTAAGCTCCTTCTGGGGGACATTCTATCTTTCAGACAACTCAAGCGCTCTGAATTCCTCTGAGGACCAAAGTTTGCATAAGTTTTGTCAATTGTCTTCTCAACCTTTGGCCACTTCTTGAAGGATCATGGACCTTTCTTTGGCTGTGTTTGGAAGGCTGAAGAGAAAGATACACCAAGGAAGCCCTTCTGGCCAGGTGCCCAGAGGAGAGACAGGGAGAAAGAGAGGATGCCCAAGGTGGTTGAAAGGACTATGTTCCTCAAGGTCAGGGTTAGAGCAACCTTAAGATCTGCTTTAACCTTAAAATTCCATAAAGTTGAACTGAAAGGGCCATGAGCTACCACATTACCAGAGATCCTGGTTGTCAGTGGGACCACTGAACCCAGAGAAACTGAGATTCTTGTCTCAAACCTCATAGTAGATAAATGGCAGAGCTGAGTTCAGAATGCAGGGCTCCTGATCCCTAATCTAAGGCTCTGTCCCTGTCTTTTCGTCTTCCCATGGAGCAGGGAGGCTTAAATGCAGGAAGAAGTGTGTTTGCAGATGCTGGAACCGAAAACTGATGTGACAGATGGAAGTGTAGGGAAAACAAGCACTAATGAGCCTTTGGGATCTGTCTTGTGGGAGGGTGCCAGCAGATGACTTCAGGCCCTTGGCCGGAACCCAGCCAAGTCACAAGTCAGGGGCAATTGGGATTCCATAAAGATGCAACAATGCTCAAGGTGGCAAAACAAACCACGCTGATAATTCCTGCCAGATGGAATGCGGTTTGAGAGCCAGACACCTTTCAGTTCTGCTGCACCTTTGATATAAGAGTAAGACATCTCAGAAAGAGCGCCTGGGTTGATCAAAGCTTTTAGCTCTGGACTTACTGTCACTTCTTACTAAGCTTCAGTCATCGGCTCTGCAAAGTGAGAATTGTAACCATCAACCCAAATG